ATATATATATATATATATATATATATAAACCAAAAAATAGAAATTGATAAGTAAAAGTGGATCCCAAATGGCCTATTAAATTTCTAAATTTGTCTTTTTTATCTCTTGTTTCTTTTCACTTCAGCATGGAAGAAATTGATTTAGCCTACCGTGATGCTCTAAATGGATTACCATCCAGAAGACCTCTCATTGAAATGACAATTCCTTCAGTTCTTGACACGACAATTTCTCCACCTGGTAAAGCAGATTTGCAACAGCCTCATTGTCGAATTTGATCTTAAGTTGGTATTTTCTAAAATTTATATTTGTTAACTTCCAGAAGATGATGCAGAAGTCTAAAATTTATATTTGCAGAAGTCTTTTTACTGTAGAATTTGTGACCTTAGATACGCAGTATTTTCTTTTTTGATCATTTTCTGTGACCAATTCTTCAAGTTGAACGAGTATTTTCTACAATGATTTTTCATTTTTCCCCTAACAGGTAAACATGTGATTAATCTCTTTATCCAGTACACACCTTTCAAGCTTACAGAAGGCAGCTGGGAAGTGCCAGCAATCCGAGTGAGTCAGATTCCACTTTAAACAGTTTCCTAATATCAAGTATTGTGTGTGACGGTTAACACCACATAGGATGCATATCCGTGCATGTTTTTCTACGTCTATTTGTCCTTCTCGTTATAAATGGATATTAATATTTTCTTTCTCACGAACATGCCTTTGTCGTTAGTCTCATGCTACTGGCACTAGTGGTGTATATTGTTGACAGTAAAATAAAAAAAGAAAAAAAAATCAAGAGAAATAAAAAAAAGAGAAATGTTATATTAATTAAAATTAAATTAATTAACTTAAAAATTGATTTATTCTCGCGTGTGGGAGCCCGCCAAAAAGGACATAACTGTTCCACCTTTCTTCAGTTACAAGCAAAGGAAGGGGGAGAAGGGGATTATTTGCTTTGTTAAATTCACACGTTTCTTCCAAAAATTCCATTCGCACTGTTTCATTCTACGGCTTCCCTCTCGTTCATCTATACTCATTCCTACTCTATTCTTCTCTCGTTTCTCGTTATAAATGGATATTAATTTGTTCTTTCTCACGAACATACCTTTGTCGTTAGTCTCATGCTACTGGCACTAGGGATGTATATTGTTGACAGTAAAAAAAAATGAAAAAAAAAAATGAAGAGAAATAAAAAAAAAGAGCAATGTTATATTATTTAAAATTAAATTAGTTAACTTAAAAATTGATTTATTCTCGCCTGTGGGAGCCCGCCAAAAAGGACATAACCATTCCACCTTTCTTCTTCAGTTACAAGCAGAGGAAGGGGGAGAAGGGGATTATTTGCTTTTTTAAATTCGCACGTTTTTCCAAAAATTTCATTCGCACTGTTTCGTTCCACGGCTTCGCTCTCGTTCATCTGGACTCGTCCCTACTCTATTCTTCTCTCGATTCTCATTTGTGTTCTTTAGCAAAAAATCGCAGAAGAAATTCACACTCTCTCGTTCGTCTCCACTGTTCTCTTCCGTTTCGCTCTCAACGGTTAAAAAGTCGTAAGTCACTATTCTTCTTCCTCTGTTGTTTTCTTTATCTACTCCCAAAGCCGTCTGCACCTTCCTGCGTCGTAAGTCGTAAGTTACTTTTCTTTATCTATTTTCTTTCGTTTCGCTCTTAACGGTTAAAAAGTCGTAAGTCGTAAGTCACTATTCTTCTTCCTCTATTGTTTTCTTTATCTGTTCCTAAAGCCGTCTCCACCTTCCTGCGTCAAAGCCTCCACAAATCACCCAAACCACTATAGTCTCTCTACCTTAACAAGCTTGCACGATTTCCTTTCTTCCCCGTCACGTTCCCCTCCCTGTTCACGAGAACTAAACCCTCTGTGTTGCGATCTTCCCGAGCCTAAACGCCCAATTGCGATCCTCTCACAACACTGCCCTAGCCTCACACGACCCTCTCTGGCCTAGCCTTCGCTGGTTTCGCTGAGTTCCCCTTGTGAGCACGAATCGACTGTACTTCCCTGCCTCACTTAGGATTCAACAAGTCGAAGCCTCGCATCCTCCCTTGTTGCGATCAATTTTCCTTGTTAATCATGTTCACGCGATTCCTACTGCACTCCCCCCCCCCCTCTTCCTGGTATTGTGATCTTCCTTCTCCTTTGCTCTTCCCTAGCATCGAATGCCTCCCTGTGTCGCAATCTCCCGTCTTAAAGCCTTCGCACGGCTCTCCTTCCTTGTGCAATCCCCTACTCTAGCTTTCGCAACAATCCGCACTCTCTACTTTGCCCTAAGGCCTGATACTGTTGTCAAAACTGAGTTTCCCCACTTGTATTCTAGCCTGAGCATTAAATTAGCTCAACCCGATCATTCTTTCTTAACGGGTGGGTTACAACCAGAGCCCTCTGACCGAGTGAGTTCCGCCAAATAACACTATTATATTATGGTCACGACCACAGTCCGTATGTTCTTCAGTGGTTTTCTTCCCTTTGAATTGTGAATCATTAAGGAACAATTAATTGACATCAAGTTTTCTGTTGGCTAAGGTGTCCTCGTAGACAAATATCCACCCCAGATCTACAAGAATCTATTGGACGACACAACCCATGGGTGCTAACAAAAATTATTCTATCAGGCTGGGGCTACCTCCTTTGACTGAGTAGATTAGGGACCACGACGACCCGGAATGATGGAAATATGGTATATTGATCGAGTTTCATTTTCATTTCCCAATCATCCGCTTTAAGTTTCAAGTGGTGAATTCTACAATTTAAATCCTAAATATGTTGTTATTTTACATTAAATATTCAATTCTTAATTACTAGTCTTAATCGAAAGTACTCTCTCTTTATCAAGAAAGGTAATTAACCATAGGGGTTTGCGCTTATGGGAAACCTCGAATACCAGATCAAAAAGTCTTCGCAAAATGACGACAAAATCTCTATGTACTATCTTATCTACAATCTAATCTGTCTTATAAAAATTTGACCCTTTAAAGCTCTCTTTATCTCTCTAAAAATAAAATAAAAATAAAAATAAAATGCAGAGAGTTCATCGGGAGCGGTCTTTAATTTTTATAACCTACATATATAGGTCGAGTTTAGCTGGCCACCCTCAGCTTGAACTTGAGCTAGTTTGTCACTCCCCGCCAATATTACGACACGATGGAGTATTCTAGAAGATGGAGGCCTAATGAACAACCTAGAAGAATCTAGAGTATAGATGTACATAAAGATAGTGTAGAACTATCTAGAAGCTAGAATATTATATTGTAAAGCTCCCCTTGGAGAATAGTCCCACATTGGCAATATGTAAAGCCAAAGCCATGGAGGGAGATATAAATAAGTGTCCCCTCCCTCATTCTAAGGCATCCAAGGTTTCAAGCTTTCAAGCTTTGTAATCTCTCTTTATTAGTGAAGCTTTATCTTCTTTAACTCTTCTTCCTATTCTACTTTCAAGAGAGTGCTTTTGAGTTGTTAGTTGGGAAGGTTAGGCTGATTTAGTGCTAAGAAAGAGCGCTAAAGCCGCACGGATAACTTGAGGAAAGTTAGTCCGTGACAGTTGGTATCAAAGCCTTGGTTCGAGGGAATGGCGAAAAGTGTCAAGGAGCACGTGATGGAGTCGGAAGCCACTAATGTGGAGTCATCTCAAGGGCGAGGTCGCCAGGAGCAAAGGGACCCCGTTGCCCCCAAGCCACATGGAAGGTCTAAGGAGATCATGCATAGCCTTGATTCACGCCTTGCTCGGATGGAGGAGGCCATGAATGGCATGGAGGGCCAAGTAGAGGAACTTGGCCAAAGGGTTGATGGACTCGAGGAAGAGGACGTCACCATCCATTCAACAATCAGAGGTATGATGCTCCAACTTGAGGAGACCCTAATAGGCCAAATGGCTAAGTTGCAGGAGGATTTTGTGGGGAAGCTCCAAGAAGTGTGAAGTGCCCACAAAGAAGAGATGAACGACGTGCGTGCTAGCTTGGAGGAGATGCGTGGAGACATTTTGTTGTGCAAGAGAGCACTAGCAGCACCCACCAACCATCAAACCTTCGAATCTAAGAGGATTGAGGTGCCAAAACCTAAGAGTTTTGGAGGAACTCGTGATGCAAAAGAAGTAGATAACTTCTTATGGGGTCTGGAGCAATACTTCGGAGCAATGGGGATCTCGGATGAAGAGGCAAGAATTCAATTTGCCACTCTTTATCTTTCAGATATTGCTATGCTATGGTGGAGAAGAAGGCGAGGAGATGTTGAAAAAGGTATGTGTATTATCTCCACTTTTAATGACTTTAAGAAAGAGTTGAAGAAACAATTCTACCCGGAGAATGCGGAGGATGAGGTTAGAGCCCAGTTGCGAAGGCTCAAGCAAGTGAAATCGATTCGAGAATATATCAAGGAATTTACTAGCCTGGTCCTTGAAATCCCTGATATGTCAGATAAGGACGCTCTCTTCAACTTCATGGATGGACTCCAACAATGGGCAAAAACAGAGCTGAGGAGGCGTGGTGCACAAGATCTCGCTTCCGCCATAGCCATTGCGGAAAGCTTGGTAGACTACACAAAAGAGTCTACGAAGCCGAAAGATAAGAGGAGCAACTATGTCAAAAGTGGGGGAGACCGGGAGCAACACAAGGAAGAGAATCATCGCGAATCGACCACATTCAAGGCAAGAGACAAAGGAAGGTACAACAACAACAAAACTAAACCATACAACAGTTGCTTCCTTTGTGGAGGACCACACTGGGTAAGAGATTGCCCGCAGAAGAAAGCCTTGAACTCCCTCCTTGCAAGTCATCAAGAGATAGAGGAGAACGATACAGATGCTCAAGTGGGAACCATGCAACTACTAAATGCGGTACGCTCCTCTCCAAAGACCCCAGCTAAAGGACTTCTCTTTGTGGAAGTGATTATAGGGAAGACATCTACTAAGGCGATGATAGATACGGGAGCTTCTCACAACTTCATCGCTATTGAAGAAGCAAGGAGGATGGGGTTGCAGACAACTGGAGGTGGAGGCTCCATCAAAGCAGTTAACTCCGCAGCTAGGCCAATCTATG